CTTTACTTAGTAATAATTAGTATTTGTTGCTTTTAGGATAGGTGTTCATCTTTTTTTTTCATTTAAAATAAATATGTATAAAAGCCTCTACCTGCAAGCAATATGCATTAAAAAGTGTCCTTTACCTAACAAAAGGCATCCAAAATTTTGTACTTCAGATTTAAAACATCTGTGAGTACTAATTACAAAGTTTTTATACTGTACTATTTTTTTTTTACTACTATAACTATGGAGTCCATCAAATACTCAATACAGTAACTGGCACAATACTTCAATCTTATAAAATATAAATGAAAAATTTAAAAGTAACCCCGACATGTAATTCACCATTTTGTGGTGGCGACCATCTTGGATTCGAAAATTATACTAGTCAAGCCTAATTCATTTGATACCCATATTGAGGGAGTTGTGAAAAAATATGTAATCCGCTATTTTGTGGCGGCGGCCATCTTGGACCGATTTTCATCAAACATAGCTAAGAACACTTCCGAATTATTCACCTTTCAGAGAAAAAACAAAAACAAAATCGGATGATCTCTTCGGGAGCTACCATACCACAGACAGACACACACACAACACACAGCACGTCAAACAAATAACTCCCCGTAGTTTTTGCGTCGGAGGTTAAAAACAGTAGAAAAAAAATAATTCCTCTCCGAATTAATATTTAAAGTTGTTTTATTTTGAATTGATGTTTTATTATCATTTTATTTCCATAACATTATCTGTTCAGATGTGATGGAATTGGTCGTAACCATACTTTTTTAGCTGTCCCTTGTAATTCTTATAGTAAAATTGTTAGTTTACAGAATTGATTTCTGAAATATTCTAATAAGGCAACATGTCTTTTTATTATATTTTTCATTTTGAAATATCACTTAATTGTAAGGTGTAAATATATTTTAAAGAAAATTTTAACAGAATTTGCTCTGCGATCCAAAGTTTGAGATGACATTTTTTAGCACTTATTTTCTAGTGTTTGGTTTATTGTTCAATTCTCGTAAACTAAATAGTTATAAGAACTCAAACTTTGTCAGTATAACGTACGTGGACTAAACTATAATATAAATGATTATCCTAAATCTCTTGATCTTCAATGCTCTTAGAATTCAAGTATAAAAAACACCTCTTTTTTATCCGGCGCTAAGTCGCCATAATTGAAACATGTTATTGTTAAGCTTGTGGTGTAAAAAAAATGTACAGTGAGTTGTGTTGTTTTAATCAATTAATATAAAATATTGTATCTATAATTAAATGAAATTAAAAGTTTTTAAAATAATAGTTTTATTTTATAATAATTCCTGTTTTAATACTATATACTGATAAAAAATCACTTACAGTAATTTCAACTTAGAATTAACTATATAATATTAATACAATTGATCTTATTTATATATATATATATATATATATATATATATATATATATATATATATATATATATATATCGATGGGTTATTGGAACAAAGCCGCAATCGACAAAATACAATTTTACAGGAAAAAAGATTTAGTGAAAATCATGAATAATTACTAAACTACGAGGCTCATCAAAACGGTTTATATATCAAAAGATGCGTTATTTTTTTCTGGACGGATATATAATGTACATAAGCTTATAATTCTAAGGAAATACCTAAAAACAAGTAAAAAATCATATTGCCGCTTCATACATTGAATGTCGTTTCCGTAAGAATCCATTGTGGTTTTATTCCGGTAAAAAGTGCAAAATCAATCAGACAGCAATAGTCTATTACAACGTTGTACGCTGATCTGAAGGATGTATGGCGAATACAGTAATAGCGTTTTGCAGTGATGTTACATGAATTTAATTATCGACTTGACTCGGAAAATGCACTTGTGAATGCTGTGTACATTATATGAATTGTTGGTTGTTTTGGAATGACTACAATCAATCTAGAATATAACGTAATTATTTATTATTATGTATTTATTATTTTTAATTAAAGTTTTGGACACAGCATAATTAAGTCATAAGAAAAAATACCAATATACCTATTTACCAGAACAATAACATAGTCTTCATGTTATTTACATTTCTACGATCTAAAATGTATTAAAGTATTACAATCTTGGTAGGTATCAAAAAGAAATAACAAAATTATCCATAAAGAAATGGTGTGTCTTCTTGGGAATAATGTTCTGCTACAAGTACTTCATCCTCAACAGTTTCGCATGCCAAAACCTCATAAAAATCATGGTAGTGGCGTGGTGTGTCATAATTTTTACAATGACTTAATAAGTCTGAGACACAGGAAATGGTTCATTGTAAGCCCTTTGCAGCTTGGATTCGATTGGAATTTCAGCAGTAGGAGTAGCAGCATCACGGAGTATTTGTGCACCTCGTGAACGTCCACTTCGTGTGCGTCCACCGTACCCGGGCGTCTCGAGTAGGAAATCTGGCTGGTAGATCACGAGTGTGTATTATTATTTATTACATTTTTTTGGAAGTGGTGCCGAGGTCGGCCATAACTACGTCGATCAATTGTGGTCCATTGTAGCTCCCTGTATGTGTAACTCCGTACGCGTGTGGAACTCCATAATATAATCATCTTCAAAACTGTATTTTAAGTTCAGCATACCCTCATGAGTACCCGCAACAACTTCCATAATATTGGACCACAATATTTTATTTCCCTCAGAGTCATGCGTCCAATTTCGGCCTTCAATAAGTATTTTTATATCGACAAAGTCAGATTGATCCATCTCTATCACTTTTTATATTTCTCGCCACTAACTATGCCATTCATTGCAAGTGCGTCTGACAAATAATGGCATAATAATAATATTATTATAAGTCTCAATATTTTGTAAATAGCTTATTGTGCTATTTCGTAGTTCATTTGCAGAGGGCAGAATTAGTGATGAGATGTTATGGACCACGGGGTTCAAGATAGAACAAGAATCATTATCTTCTGAAATCCTACCTAAATTGCATAACAATGTTTGACTTGAGTCGGAAACTGTAATATTCTCTGGTTTTAAAGTAGTATCTAATTCCGAGATCTTCAAATCTATGGTGCTACCACTACCTTGACATAGACAAGAGACATTAAATCTAGAATGTGTATCTTCGGCAAGTACTATATCTTCTATTGATACAGTAACCCCTCGTTGTTCTCCTGGTTATTTACACTCAACGTTTAACTTGTGGTGTCAGAGTTATAATTAATCTGAAAGTTATGTTGTCGAGGGGATTTTAATTCTATACCCACAAAATACCCAATTTCTTCGTTATTTCTAATTTTATTTTTGTGTTTTGGGTGTGCTTAAACTAATAGTATGGTTATCTACTTTTAATATTTCTGATGGAGATATTTTTATCAACTGACTTCCTCAAAAAGGAGGAAGTTCTCAATTCGGCTGTATGTTTTTTTTTAAGTTTGTTACCTCAGAACTCCGTCATTTATTAACCGATTTGGACAATTTTTGTTTTGTTTGAAAGTGTATACTTCCAGATTGGTCCCTTTTATATTTCAAAAAATATAACACCACTAAGGGTGGAAAAATACCTAATGATGAATTTAACCTACTTCTAATTATCATATTGACTTGAAACTTTGCAAGTGCTTCTATTTCTGTTGATAGTGCAGTGGTTCGGTATCGTTGACCTGATCTGATAAGTAAGGCCGTAGATCGGGTAAGGCCAGAAGGTGCATAGGTGGAACTCTTCAACGGCTAATAGTAAACTAACGGCTAATAGTACTTTAAGTTTCGGCTTATTTTGTTTGATTTGACAAGCCTAACTCGTTAGAATCGGATTATAGAGCCAGAATTTTTAGTGTTAATAATAAATGTGAATTTTAGTTCGTCAGTCTTCATATTAAAATTAGCATCAAAGTAACTTAAACGGTTTAAGCAAAAATATTTTATTAAAATACTTTCTTCTCACTTTGCTACTACTATGTCTACACTAAGAAGGAAAAAATAAAAACTTTTTAACAAAAAAATAAAAACCGACTTTAAAAAAAGCACTAAAAAGTAAAAAAAATACTGATTATTAGTTTTTATTTACTAAACATACAAAAATAATAATAATATAATATTTTATTACTTTAAGATGCACCTATGTGATGTGTCACAACAATAATAATATAATAACTACTTATTCAATATTATCTGGCAGGCATTTAGGAAGGCATATTGATAAACACACTTTTGGTATTTAAAAACTAATGTGAGAAAAACAGTACATAGATTACATACATATGGCACTGTTTATTGAAAATCAATCGACATATTTTTATTTCATGTAAGAAAACCATAATTACTATTACTAGTGAAAGTTTAAAATATTTGTACAGCAATGTTTATTGTGAATCGGTATACTAAGTTTATTTCCGGGAACAAAGCCGCAATGGCCGTTAGTTGTAGAAGGTTGAAAAAAACTTTTATCATTGCACATAGCACGATTATTCCGGCAAACAAAATTCGAACGATGAACGGGGAATAACGAGAGAATATCCATACTGCTTATGCTATCTCAGGCAGTTTTCATTATTAATTTATGAAAAAAATCCACAAGGTGTAATAGGGTCCGTAGATTACGAAAATGGCTTAATCGGAAAACAGCTACTATGGCTATTGCGGTCTTGTTCCAGGCACCCATCGATATATATATATATATATTCTTAGTTTATTTTAAAACGATTCTAACGATATAAGCTTTATATATAGCTTATATATAAAATTTTAATAAATATTGTTATTTTAATGATGCGTACATATTTCGCGCAGGCCCTCGAAAAGTAGCCGACAGATGCGCCATATTTTTGTAAAATGACAGCGACAGTTGAGGGGTTAATGGCTAAATAACGTCAACTAACGGTTGTCCATCAAAGTCAAACATAAATGTCAAATTAATTTGTCATTTGTCAAACTAAAATAAATTATAAATGCAGTTTAGTGAATCAGATGGTAAATTTTTATTTTGATAAATAATATACTTATTAGTACGAAAATATAAAAATTAAATATAAAAATGAAGCCGGATGCTGAAGCTAACAAAACTGAGGAAGAAAATGTTACGGGAGATGTTATAGGAGATACTGCCTACAGTGAGCGATTCGTCTTAAAGTTGTTGTTAAAATTCGCTAATTTGGACATCCTTAAGAACGAACTACAAGAAAAAATATTTGAAGATGATCTATGCACGCTTTGGGATATGACAGCTGAAAGAGATGTAGTATTATTTCTGCAAAAACACGACGTTTTTAATTTGCTTAATTTCGCTTTTCCTATTATAGATTCCCCTCGTATTATCGAGATTCTGATAGGAATGATTGGTAATATGTGTTGTCAGAAGGAAGCAGCTAAGGAACTGTTAAAAATGAACTCTTTTTTAACATTATTATTGGAATATGCTAAGTCTGAAGATAGCCTAATTATTATTCAAGTACTACGGTTGGTAAACACTAGTTTATTTCTAGCAAAAGAGCAAGAATTACACAAATGGATTGAGATTTTTATTAAAATAGGCTATTCAAATGCTTTATATTATGTGTTAAGAAATTCTTCTAATAAAGATCTCTTACTGACAGCTTTAGAAAATTTTAACACTATTTGCTCGTATTGCAACTCAGGAAAGGATAGCACAAATTTTTTTGGCCATTTCGTAACTGCAGAGGCTATTGAATCCTTAGCCACTGCATTTACTGAAATAACTATTAAACAAAAAGATTCATGTGAAACTGAAGAATTAGAACGGGTACTCATTATTACCTTACAAATTACATTAAACTTGGTCGGTTTTGATAAATCATATGAAGTGTACAATGAAAATAAATCAGATGTACTTAAGATAATAACACAAGTGTTTACATATTACGAAAACAAATTTGTAAATCAAAAAGAAATTGACATGGACTTAGTAGATGTAATAGATTCTGCCATAACAATTGTTAAGGAATTAGAGTTAAGTTGCATGTGTGGCCTTGAACAGTTCTTCCAACAAAGTTATAGTATGTGGAGAACATTAAGTACTATTGCAGAATCTGACAAAAATGGAAGTTCGAGCTTTGAAATTGATGACAAAGAAGAATTGCAGGTGTTTTCTACTCAAATGAAAGTATCATTAAGTAATTTAATATTTAATTATATGGAAAAGTGTGGCAATAAGCATTTATATAAAGCTCTTGATGAAATCGGGACAGATTTTGATGATATGTCCAATTTAGTGAAAGAAAAGTCATTATGGAAAGCAGTTTGTGATCGAGCTTCAAACTATAAGACTAGATTAAAAGAAACAGAAAACTGTTAGTGTTTTTTATTAATATGTGAATTCTGTATATATTAGATTAGACAAAGTTAATAATTACCCTGTTAAATTTAGAAGCCTGCAAAATTATTTTAAAAAAATTGTGGTGAGATATGAAATTCTAATCTGCTTTAAAAAGCATCACAAATGTGCACATAAATATTATTTTTTTAATATTATTGAACATTAATGGTAATTTGAATATTTTCTGATTATAATAAAAAATATTTTATATTTTATCTGACTTTGTTATGTCAATAAAATTATATATTACTCCTAACTTGTGTAAATTTATTATTTTGTAACATATCCAATTCAATTATCTTGTTAATGGCTTCAAAAAGTGCCAGTTAAGCACAGTTTATTTCTACAATACCTCATATAAGAAGACACAATGGGTTCCATAATTTTAATCAAATAACAGCTATGTAGTATCTATTATTAGGAATCAGATAATTTATTCTCCTTAGATGGGTAATACCATAATAAATTATACTAGGTCATTGCCCTTTCTGTGTTGCCCACTTCCCAGTTTGATAATATTATTTGGACCCTTTGTCCAGATATTTTTGAATATTAAATTTACTTTAAAATATATCCGAAAATAACATTAAAAATTTAAGTAATAGTATAAAAATGTTTTAAAAGACAACAAAATCGAAAGTGCATAATAATTACAAGACTTCCGCGACACCATTCAGACAAAGAAAGACAATAGCATTCCCAAGAACGGTTGACGTCAGACAGGCGGCCGGTCGTAAAACTTTTGCCAAATCCTTTCAGCAGTACAGAAGATGTACTGCGCCGACCCCAAGTGATTGGAAAATGGGCAGGGAGAAGAAGAAATAGTATTGTTTTCTTGACTATTCTGTGCTATACCTATAATAAGTATAATTCTAAATAATAATTCTAAAATTATAATGAGGGCTACCGCGTTTGAATTCGCTGCGAGAGGCGCTAGTGTAGTGTGGTTAGATACCAACAAACAAATGACACTAAACGTTAATTGTTTGCGAGTTTTTCATCGCGGATCTTCACCAATTAAGCATGTTTATCGTAAACATTGTGCCATTCCTGGTTAATTATGGCAGACACGGTACAGTTCAACAAATGTTATTGCTTTAAAAGAGCTAAGAAATAGTCAATATTTTATCGGTTTCGTTATTATATATTAATTCAAACGAAATCCTGATAAACTGGTGCTGCTTTAACGATTATTATTATATTAAATTTATGGCCCTGCAGCACTAACAAATACTTTGTAACGACAGCGATAGTACTTCAGTCGCCAGTAGCGCCAACTGGCGCATCTGGACTGACACATAGGCTACTCTTAGTAAATGAAATTTGTCAAAAGACTGATCGTTTGCCAAAACATGAATATATGCATAATATATTATTCTATATAAAGAAAAGTCGATGCTTTTGTGTCAAGTGATAAAAGTACCTAGACACTCACCAGTAAGATTACTATTATAAAAAGGAAAATTTATGTGTATGTATGTCTGTCACTCCTTCACAGTAAAAAGGCTGGCTGAATTTAGATAAAATTCAGTACACAGATTATAAACCTGGAATACACAGGTTACAGTTAGGGTGTCCCCTATGAAGTAAAATTAAAAATCTGACATTAGACTACCCAACAAGCTATGTAATGTTTTATAAATGTAATTGTACATATAAATATACCGTACATTTTTCCGGGATAAAAAGTAACATATGCATACTATTCCAGACGATAACAATTTATCTCTGTGCCAAATATCATCCAGATCCGTCCAACCGTTCTGGCGTGATTGAGCAACAAACATCCATTCATCCTCACAAACTTCACATTTATAACATTACTATGGATATAGATAATGAAACAGCAGGTAAATAAAACGCGACCATATACGGGATTATATATTTATGCACATTATAAAGCAACATTTACATTACAATAACCGAGTCCGACATCGGCAACTATTCGAATGTAACAGTACAACAGAAAGCATTCACCCACTCGAGCAGCCGCCATACAAATTACATACACGCGTCATAAAAAACTTTACTTCACAAATACTGTAAGGAGAACGGAGATTAATAATTTTACATTATATGTACTTAAAAACTAACTAACCAATCCTTCGAGTGCAAATATACTCGTCTGTTATATATATATAATATAAAAAAAAACAATATAAAGACTAGATCAGTGAAATACACTGATTAACGATAAATTGCTAAGAGCAATAACGCAAGCGTAATACTGGCAACACACGCGCTAAAAAAAAAACTAGAACTGGTAATATGAACATACTCGTAGCGTCCTTTTGGCTTTTAAGTGTAAATCAATAAAAATATATAATTTTAATTTTACAGAATAAAATCATATTCTCTTTATTTCATTATTTTAGAGACCTGTGTTGCCAGCACCACTCAAACAACTGAGCGAACAAATAATATTGTCCCTAAAACATATCGTTTAACTGTGACATTAAACTGACAACTACAATATACAAATATAAACTATTTACCTACTTAATAAATTATATAAATTATTTGAAATTAAAAACAAGTCTTAGGCTTTAAACGTGTCGCGTAGTACCTACAGATCCCAGCTCCGTTCTTTTCCCGTCTCTACACAATCACTTGTAAAAATAAACACAATCTTACTTAACACTTCTAAAGGCACATTTACACGGACAGTTTCTTTCTTCACATATTTCATTAGGTACAGAAATAGAAAAATATTTTTAAATAAAACTCTCTTGTCGGGGATTTATTTAGATTTTTCATTCCCGTCGTTTCGAATGCTTTACAGCAATCATAGTCACGGGAGAGACTATGGTTTTAGACGTCTTAAAAGTCCTTTATATAACCTCACTCACTCCCGTGACCATGATTGCTGTAAAGCATCAGCATTCGGGAATCAAAAATCAAAATAAATCCGCGAAAAAGTTCGAAAAGATGGCTTTATTTAAAATGTCAAATATTCGCGAAAATCTAAGAAAGTATTATTAAAAAATGTAATTAATAGTTACAACTATTAAAATCTGTAACATTGTAATATCATAATTCATAGCTTTTAATAGTTAGTCTATTTATGAGCAATGTAAACTGCACTTTATGTACCTCGTTTATATGGTACATTTTACATTGCTCATAACTTCTATATTCTTTAGTTTCTCTTTGAAGATATCAAACTCACCGTGTAAATAGGCCTTTAAAGACATACAGTCTTATAAATTAGTAATAAAGGCCCTACAGTTGAAACATGTTTTGTCACGCTCTTACAAACTCAAACATCATATTGTTAGATAAAGATAGATGCTTCATAAACCAATTTTAGCTAAAACAGAGATAAAACAGGTTTATAAATAAGGCCTTTAGTAGGGAACTAAAAAAAAACATGTGTAGAGACTGCAATATGTAAGTATTTACAAAAAAAAACCAAAAAAGTGAAATGAACGCAAGCTTTGTACTCGCTTGGGATATGTTTTGTGACAGAACTAAATATTTAAACAATATCTTATCTCGTAGATAAATTAAAATTATTTTTTTACTTACTTACAACTTTAAAAAAATCGCAGATTTCACATACATCGATATAATATGATCACTCCACATTGAACGTGTAAATATACTTTACAAGCGAATCGATAGACAATACCATTCCAGCCATATTTGATTCCGAATGGTCCATTTTTGGCACATTTCCTTCAAATTTAATTTTTTTTTTAAATAATACTATGCGACGCATGGACTGGCAGTGTCTATTGGTAGGGGGTTGCCGCGTTATATTTAAATAAAAACATGTATCTGGCAACACCCATCATATAGCCATAGAGTAAATATATAACAGATTATAATTTAAACTCTTTTACTCTAAAACGTCGATAAATTTTATTGGCAAATGTTTGAAGCCGCCGGCATTTTGATTTCGTATTATAAACAAACTAATCTGAATCTAATTTTCTTTTCGACACACCTAGTAGATAGAGTACGATATGTTTCACTATTGGGATATGCTTCAATCCTCTCCACTTTAAGTTCAAACATTTGCCCATACACTACTAAACTCTTTGGTACATTTTGTGAGCAAAGACGAGTGATGAAATCAAGCTTAAGCGATAATATCCAATAATGTATTTATTTCCCGATCGTTCACTTGCGTTCATCTGGATTCTATTTCAGTTTTGAGTCACTTGTAATAGAACGATCGTTACTTATAAATATAATATATATATATATATATATATATATATATATATATATATATATATATATATATATAAATATATATTTTAAAACCCCATAGACTTCATATTTTTTTTTATTATAAAAAAAGAACCTCCTTTTTGAAAACTATAAAAAAAAATAAGTAACCATCGCGCCATTACGCGTGTGACTGATCTTTTTCACTGGAATGTTCACAATCTCACAGTCCCATATTGCTTTCTCCGTTAAAAGACACACCATTTGTACTTACGATAGATTTAATATATTATAAACAACCTAATTTCCCCGATTCGTTGTCTCGATAGGACAGCTGTGTTAATAACTACGGGACCAAACGTAACGTCTGTAAGTTTTGCTCTACCGTGAAGATTGTACAGTTACGGCACTAATTGAACGCGATTGAAATACACGTGATTGTTACGTTGAATTTGACGTGCTCGCTAGCGAGTATAGAGCGCTAAAAGTCGGTTCATGGTAGAGGCTATACATTATAATAACTTGTTAATTCATTAACATTAACAGCAATGCGAACGTTTCTATTCCAACGTCTATTCCTAAGTCCATACAACATCACGTGACGAAAAATCTTATATTAGAACACGTATTGCACGAACCGATTTTGATAAAACACTTGATATATAAGATCACATCTAGGTAAAAAGTTAGCGAGTAACAATTAGATAAATAAGGCTAAACTATCCAATCCGGTAAGACGGCAAAGGGACATACAACGCACATATCTAGGAATATATTATAAACGACACGAAATATTATGAAATATGACTAACAAATATCTAGTACATATAATAGAGCGACACCTGTAACGACGTACGAGGGTATATATGAATTTCACAGATTAAAAATTGCGATTTAAAAAACATCGCATCACACCAATAAATTGGCAACCCCTGTCAAAATGGCGTATACGAATTAAATATTAAAATATTAAATGTATATAGAACTTCGCACGCGCTATTCCGAAAGTCATTTGAATTGCCAAGCGTATCCTCCGTTGGATACATATTTGCCTAAATTTATAATACTTTTTAATAATAATCGTTGAATTCGATGGAATCGAGCGATTTCATTAGGGCGGGACAATATCGATATTGAGGGGCACATCACACACATATCGAGATTACGTCACTCCGTAACTTCAGTAGTAGTATTCCAAAAAACATTTGTGTAACTCGAAAGCAGAATCCGCTAATAAATTTTATTTAGCGGTGAATCACTGGCAAGTCAAAAACTATTCAATAGTTAGTCTTTATAAAAATAAACTTCAAAATATCCACAGACGGTTAAGTATTTAGTACCGTTGATAGAAATAAGTAGTTCTCTAAACTACTACTTTCTTTAGTTTCGACACCCACCGACGAAATCTAAACACCGCCAACATGCTTGAAATATATCCGCGAATTCAGCTGTCGAGTTATATAAGAAACTTTTACAGAATACCATTACATGTATCGATGTCGGTAAGACTGTTTGATTACGTACATCATTATGAGTTCACCTTAGTCTAAGTGTTCAATGTTCTCAACCAATTTCCTGAACCCATTTTGATGCACCTAACAAAAGCCAACAAGTGCGATTTAGGCCCCGGAGAATCCGTAGACCTCTAAAACGCGTATTTCAAAATCCCCACTAGGACAAAGCGGCGGGTTATTGAACGTGGAGCATCGATCCGTTTTACCGAACCGTATGTTTTCATCCATCCATATCGCTTGACCGTCACTGTAAATGAGCAAACAAAACAAAATTAGCATAAAACATAACTAGATCGTTAAGCAAACAAAAACCACAAGTCAAAAATAAACACAGTTGTTGTTAATATCGTAACAAAAATGATGGCAAATAGTCAAGTTAGTGTATTTTTTTAAATGTACAGGATTGTTTTAGCTTGTTTTTTTAAATATATTGGGACATTAACACACAACACCATCTAGTTCCATGGTAAGCTACGAGACCTGTGTTATGGATACCAGATAGTTGATATACTACACATATATAACTTTAAATACATACATATTATATATACCATGTATAACTTTTAATTTGGGTTTGAATTACTTGATATATAAAATCACTACACTAAGCACTTACCGTCACATTAAAAAAGACCATCAAACACCCATTCAGCAAACCAGTGCTATATTTGAGACTATCAAAAACATAAGTACATACCCTCCTCCTACAGTAATCATTGTGTTATCGGCTGCCATAAAAAGAGAATTAGCATGAGAAGTCTTAACATCGCCCTCGTCCTTCGAATCCTCTTGAGCGCATCCAACCCATGGGTATTTGGCTCTGACTGGGTGAAGGCTGAAAATTATGGTGAAATTTATGAAAACTGACCCTCCTCCTATGGTGATCATCTTTGAATCGGCCGCCATGAAGAGTTCTGAAGCATGGGAAACGCTTTCCCCCTTCCCATCGGCACCGATAGAACACCCAACCCAAGGATATTTGGCACGCTCCGGGTAAAGGCTGTAATGTATGTTGGTTGTACTGAATGTTGTTTTATGTAGGCGTTTCTAATTTTAGTTTGAAAGTATTTGTTTAGAAATAAATATGTTAACTACTGTGCTAGGTAGCTGCAATTTGAGTAAGTATATGTTATAAAGCCAGTTTTTGATAGTGCTTGAGTAATATCACAGTCTAATAATCCACAAATTTTAACGATGGCATCTAAACGGGGAAGGCAGACGGGGGCGGACCCGACTGTCATACAAAAGAACGTATGACAGATAATAGTCGGGGGTTTCCCCGGTCCGGCACTTCCCCGTCTCCCCGCACATGCTCCCGACTGCCATACAAAAGAACGTATGACAGTCGGGAAACGACTATAGGGTTGACAGGTATAACTGTAACATACCACAAGATGGCACTAAAATGCTTTAACTTTAAAACCGTTCGTCATAAAAATAGATATTTTTGGCCATCCTTTCATTTGACAGTATTTCCATTAAAGTAAAAGTTGATCACCCATTATGTGGATTCTTATACTGTGGTAGTATGCACGGTGATAAGCGTATTTGTTGGTGAGTGAGATATTGCCCTTGTGAGGGCTTCTGTGTGGTGACGTTATATTTTTTTTAATTAAACATATAGAATAAACATTTCTCAAGTTCAAAATTGTACAATTTTAATATTTCGGAAATCATTCGTCAATCATTATTATATACTAATAAAATATATAGCTAAACAAGATAATCAAGGAAGTGTGACATCTACACCTATTTCAAAAAATAATAAAAATAAATAAGTTTTTCTTCTTTCGCAAGCAAAAGCTGAATCTAAAAAGAACATGACAAAGCAACTTATAGTAAATATATATTCTATATTTCTACTTAGGTAACTCAGACTAATGAATATAATAGACAGAGTATCATAGCACTAAATATGAAGCCAAACAATGTTTTAGAATAATATATGTTTTAAAACAGCATACGTTAATAGAATATTTATTATTTTGATAAGTAAATAAATGTTAATAAATAAAAATAGCTTTTATTATAATAAAGAAAAGTAAAATTAAATAAGATATGTATCTCTCTTTCAAGAGAGAGAGAGAGAGAGATGAACTAATACTTCATAATACAAAAGAATTTAGTATTTTTTTATAATTCATATTTCCCTTTCAAAATTTGTAAATTAACGATTAATACCTATATAAAATTTCCCTTATTCTTAAAAGAAACTAAACGATCTGTATGGCAAAATCTAGAATAGTAGCATAAACATCAAAACCACGTTACTCTTTTTGACTTTGAATTTTTTTTTTCGGCGGGCTTCATGTACATAATTCTTTAGTCTGAGTTAGATAAATAATAATGGAAGAATAGTGTATAGTATAAAATATTTGAAATAAGTTTGCATATGTAAGACAACTACGATCTCCTATTTAATAATATTCGATGGTATGGCACGTTAAATATTGTTTGGCTACAAATAAATAAACTAAATAGTTCAAACTCCAAAATCCATATTTTGTGTGATGTGATTTGATAATTTTAAAATTCTATGGGTATCGTCGTAAAGAGGAAAATATTTCTTTGAAAATAAGTGGGACCACTTAAGATCAATCTTGTTTTTTTTTTTAAAGTGGAGCTGAGAGAGCTTGAAGTCGTCTTAATATAAAAAAAAAACACGTTGATGAGTATTTAAACAAAAAAAACTGATTAACTGTCAATTTTTGTTTATTTTTTATAGTAATTTCCTAATATGATAAGACGAAGTTTAGCAACTTTACTGAGAAAGTAAAAGGTAACGAAGGTTGTACGAGATAATAAAGAATAATATAATATAATCTATACAAATAAGAATGAATCACCGAAATGTACGCGCATAACTTCCAATCGACTGCACCAAATTGAATAATTCTTTTTTTTTGTGCTTTTTATTGTCAGGACTAGTTTGTATAGAAAAAAAAACAATTTTCCTTTTTTTACTAATATAACATTTTTTTTTAATCTCATGATATGAAAAGTGAGTGAGTGAAATATTTTTTATCCCGGAAATCATCCCTTAAGGGGGTGAGAATGGAGATGAAAGTTTGTATGGGGATGCAAGCTAGGGACGAACCCGAGCGAAACGAGGGTGTGTCGCTAGTATAATAATAATAAAAATAAAAAATATATACTCTTGTAGTTTAAATATATCAAAATAAACAAACTCAACGTACCATACCAAAGATATTATGATAAACTACATTAGTGTCGCAAGTCACGTCGAACACGTCTTATAGTGTCGACACAACAGAGTTGTGAGGAAGCAACCGAAAGTAAAAGCCTTTACCCGAAGAGCCCAAGACCCAGTAAATAAAAAATTTAACCAAATGATATACTTTTAATAGAAAATACATAAATTTATAGTTTTTTTTTTTATTAAAATTAACCAACTCCAAAAAAAGATATTCAAATGATAATGTATAAAATTTGCGCTGACATTTTTTTTAATGAGGTCACTCTCTGTCTAAATAGACATCTTGTTTAAAAAATATATTGAGATATACAAGAAAAAATGGGTCGGATGGTCAATCATCTTACTTTGAAGTCAGAAAAATGTTTTTTTTTTTAAATATAATTAATAATTTTATTATTTCATATTTTTTATTATAATATAAAATATATCATTTAGTTACGAGATAAGGTACCCACAAAATTTTTATAAAGCAATATAAAAAAGAATCATCTAATACAAATCAAATTGAATAAAAGTCAAGAAATAGAAATAAGCTTCTGTATAAAGACAATAGTATCTACCACCAACATTTTAAAGCGTAAGCGAAAAGAATAAAGCAATCACATTCATTGAATAAACATAATAAAATTTAAGCAAAATATAATATAAATAAATTATTAGAAAAAAATATTCCTATAATAAATCGGCAAATATAACCTAAGAAATTATAAAATTGTTTCAAACGGATTTTTATCGTGTGTAGTAATTATTAAAATCAATGGGATTTTTTTTTAAAGTATTAACACCATAAAAATCCGCTTTAAATAAAATATGAACAAAATTTTAGACCTAACTCATTCCAGAATAAATATATTTTAGAATACATAAAGTCTAGATTTCTAAATGAAAATAACATTATAAAACACTAAGAGATTGTCCATTCGCTATGTAAGGTCGCATAACAATCTAAAGTTGACATATAAATGTACGTATGAAGTTAATTTATTTATTATTATCTATGCTTTATATAATATAGTCACTTTATATAAGCAAATGGTTTTCTATGTAGCATTAAGTTGTTATTGATGTTAGAATAATGCGACTACATCATTATTGATGTTGCAAATTACTGTATAAAGCTTTAAAACGTTTTAAATTAAGAATGTCTTATAATAAAAAAACAAATCAAGTCATTTCATAATTATGAAATTCAATTAAATTAACATAAAAATTATTTCATAAATCAAATAAAGAACATATAAAAAAATCAATCTAATTAAAAACAAACAAGAATTTATATAGAATTATTGCAAAATTAATACAATTAAAAAAAAAACAAAAATTTAATAATTAATTTATGTATTAAAAAAAATAAAAAATAATAAAGAAATTATAACAATTACCTGAAGAGGAATGTCTCGCCGGTACCGAAGTAGGCCTGTCGGTTACCGCGCTCGTCCTTCTGGTTGCGTTCGAACCACCTCGTGGAGCAATATGCACCGAATACCTATACAAATCATTTCCAACATGATTACCATTTGTCTTACGGTGAAAGAAAACATCGTGAGGAAACCTGCATGCCTTAGAAAACCTAGCAAGTTTTCAAAAGACATACATATGTAAATTGTGAAGTCCGCCAACCCGCACTTGGCCAGCGTGGTGGCCTATGGCCTGATCCCTCTTATATTGATGGGAGGCACGTGCCCAGCAGTGGGACGTTAAAAAGGGTCGAATACAATACCTATACCAACGTGAGTTTAAAAAAAACAGACAAGATATGAAGATGTACAATTATAATAATAGATCAGCCCTTTTAACGTCTCCATGCAATGAAAAGGCGATTAGCCGAAGCCACTTTTTGCCTTCATAGGGATAGAATGCCAATTTTGTGTAAAAGTTCGCTATCAAACTTAATATTTTTATCTGACCGTCTTTGAATTAATCAGGGCATGTAATGTCTATACCTACTATAGACAAGTAGTTTTTGGCCGCAATTCGGCTTATGTAGTAGACAAATTCCTAGATAATAGCTTCAAAGCACTGAAAGCAATTCATGAACAAGTACAAAACACACTTATTCATTCAGTCACTCACCAGCACAATACTATTACAATATCACTATAAAGAGTGACACTAATTCACCCTTACCTCATTATTACAAGTCTTGATCATCAACAAGGTGGGCTCATGGTGTTCAACTCGCACGTAGAACGTTGTCAACGAGCACCCATGCTCCTCCGTCGTGTACAGAAGCACTGGCTGATACATCGTGATTCGAACCGGTAACCACGACCATAGTGTGAATAACTGCAATACACCACGAATATATGAGGTACAAATAAAAATAAAAATTTCCACCTCAAATACTGTACTAGCTAATGATTGCTAAGTTTCATTAAACGGCTCAATTATGAGATTTAATGATAAAAACAACGACATGCTAAAAATCTTTGTATTCTAAACTGTTATTAGATTAATATATATATAAAAAAAAACTAGTTAATTTTGTATTAATGCGTCTGGCATCTAATGAACTATGTCTTAATGCTTGAAAGTTATATTTAAAAAAAAAACGTTAAAAAACTACAAAAAATGTTGAATGTAGTGATGAGAAAGAAATTAAAAGAAAATACGATAACGATGAAAGATTTCTAATTAAAACTTATTTTATAATAACAGCTAATGAAAAATCGAACTAAGTAGTAGTATCTTAGAGGAGCAATCACTTTGAAACATTAAAAGATCCATTCCAAAATATACCAAATACTATGATTAACGCAATGGAAAATTTTGTGTAACTAACAGACAACACGAATTTTAGCGGCACGGAATTAGTCGTGTCATATTAGTGACATCTACAAGTGCCAAGTGCTAGTGAACATCTAAACATTTACAAGACGAAGACGATATTTAGTTTATTATAGATAAAAAATATATTGACAAACGACATTACATGCATATATTATTATATCGAAATACAATATTATCGAAGAGATATTTGCACCATTATCTACTCATAAAGCAGTAAATTACTAGCAAAGATAATTTCTTATTAAAATTTAGAATTTTTACATTATGTTTAGTTCTCTCTATGCTCGTATAGTTATTAATGGTGTGAATATTTCCCAATAAATTACATAATCTAAGTACTGAAAAAACAAAAGTATAATAAATGTCTACGGTCTATATCGAAGAAGCTGGCAATTAAATAAAAAAAAATACAACATAATTTTATGATAGGATACTGTGAACGTTTTTGGTGAGTATCTTTAGTCCTCTTCCTTTTGCAACCCGAAATAAAGTGCGGTGACGTTAAACATTAATATGATTATATCTCTCCTATGGACTAAATTAAAAAAAAAACAATAAAACAACAATTATAAAAAAATATATATTCATAAACAATTAAAACCTGAATATATTATACGATAATTTCCTAAATAATAATTATTTCATATTACTACAACTCTAAATATTAATAATAATAAACTTATGCCACAATATTATTAACATATTTAAAAAAAAAATATCATCCAGAGAGATACAATCATGACATACTATATAAAGCCACCAAGTGAATCCCCAAGGTATTATGAATCCCTATCGAACCTTCTGACGGAGGTCTGACGCGTGCTGTCGTTGATCGCTGAAGACCGCGTTAGGGAATGGGAACCACAGGGCCAGGTGAGAGGATCGTGGACTCTGAAAACTCCTTCACGATGATGTACCTGAAGTATGACCCCTTAGTACGAGTTTGAAAGTAAACACGATTGTACATAAATAACCATTGATATTTTCCATAGGTTATCGTCTTTAGCGAAAACTGACCTAAGCAGACATCGGTCATTGAAAAAAATCGACAGTAGTATACTCAATATCTATTGTAAAAAAAAACTCGTACTAAGGGCTCTCGATTGAGAACGTAGAGTCGTATGCAGAAACGTATTACAGATTCATTCATTTGTGTTACTCGTATATGTAGCGATGTCATCGCCTGTCTTGGCTACGTGAAAATTTGTAACACCTTGTAAGAAAATGTGTAAGTAATATGTCCTGTGTTGTTGGGTGATCTAAATAAAGCTGGCTGTTGGATTGTGCTAAGTACGAGTATCATGTGATTTAGTTCGATGAAGTCCTATTAATGCTACAAATTTCGTTATAAACGACTGGAGACTTGAACCGTAACTTTTGTTGTTTATCTGCCCACAGTTTTATCACCATCTATTTTTATGGGTCGATCATTTTTACGATGTTATGCAATGATGGGAAGGGAATATGCGTATACCTAATTAATATGACGATAAAACTTGATTGAAAGATAAATTCGGGCTTATTAGATAGGAATAAAAATATTATCGTTGATCTGTTAATACATTTTTTAATTAAATTCGATGGAAATGACGCTTTTACTAAAATAGCACGGTCTTGCTTTCTTGGCTTCACACGAAATTTATTATATTTAGCTTTAGTTAAGGAAGATGACGTCACTAGCGTAACCAAATTTTAATCTGGGCAAACATGCAAAATTTAGCTTAAGTCGATCAGATTTTATCAAATTCAACTGTATGTAAAACCTATTGGCAGAATTATAATAAAATAATCATAAATTTAATCAAATTGTAAATAAAATAAATAATAAAATCTGACACAACTCAACGTACACTTACCACAGTGATGCAAAATAATAATAATCATATAAAAAAAAATCGAAGCGATTTTAAATTGAACGAATTTAGAGAAGCTCTGCTTTAAAATTAAAAATAAATAAACACCTAAGTAGGCAAGCGGTGCATCTAAAACATCGATATTGGTCGCAAGCTAAAGGCGACACATAGAATTGTTCTGTGACAATACTACGTAATCTTACTTCGCTCTGGTCTAGAATCTGCGACTTGATCGCTTGAAGCGGATAAACTCCCATCGAAAGGGCGCGCGGGCCCGGCGAATGTGAGCCCTAACAGGAAAATCGACACAAAGTTAGCACTCACACAAAACAATCGATAGCATGCCGACACATCACTATTATCTATAAACCTATTCATATATGTTAATCATAACAAGCTATTTTCATTTGCTCTTCGCAAGACTTACGCTTCGACATCTCCAGCACAACCCTCAAACGCATGCCATATTTTCCAATGTACCAACTTAAATGTATAATAATTAAGTAAGTTCTATAAATATTCTGGACATTATACAAAAACAACACATCGAAACACTTATAAAAACGGAAATAGTAAAGTATCCATTCAAAGCCAGCGAAATGAACTTCGAACTGTTGGTCTGAATATTTTGTACGTAGGTATGTATAACTGTCTGATGATATATAATCGTGTCGAGTAGAATGAACACATTGATAGAACACAACATAAGAAATATTCACAAAATATCACGACAAGGATCGAAAAATAACAAAAAAAAACGTGGATTCGACAAAGAGGAAAGGAGACATAGGATGTAATTTACAAGAAATTAAATATCGTGAATTGTATCATCGAACTTGTATAGGAATTCGATGTAACTGAAGTTAGTCGTGTTAGAGTTCGCAATCGAATGATTGAATGAGAAAGAAAAGCGAAAGCCACGCCTAATATTGTGTACGATACCATCTGTTTGCACGTTTCCTCAGACATTCTCTGCAAATTAAGTAAAACGTTTTCTAATACACAATATTTCATATAATAACAGGACACATATATCTATAAGTCATTGCGTGGAAGTGCAGGTGTCGTTAGATCGCTCTTCGCATTAGTTAGATCAGTACCCTATATTAACACGAACGCTTAAGGCGTTATAATTTCCAATAAAATTGCAACTAATCATATAATAGTCCCACATATTAATATTAGATATAAAATTATAATTAGCTTAAACAATCTAACTGGTATGTTTAAAATCGTAGTCCGACGTCTTCATCTAAATTTGATTGAAATTGTAGAAAGCTGCAATTACTTCGACAAAAACAATTTAAAAATTATTTCCATATAAATATATTTTCCCAATTATATCCAAATTAACTGCAGTTTCAATAAAGCTGTGAAAGTTTCGTTAGTCATAGTGATGTTTCATAAAGTTGGACCTACCTCGCGTATGGTGAGTGTGTGGGACATCATCTGTATGTTCACTTGGGACTGGCTGGTCGGGAGGTTGTCAGACGATCTGGACCGAACGAGACGTGATCCTGTTATGACTTGTTTGGACTTTAACGTCATCTCCGTTTTTATGAACACTCGGGATATGTACTGGGAGCTGCAAGAGGAAATTTATATAGAAATCACTGTCACACAAAAAAATATAATTACTTGTTTAAATAGTACCTAATAAGCTACAAAAATGTTTATTGCATAAATACTTTATCTTTAATACTTTTTTGTATCGTTATTTGAATAATTCAATAAGATTTTTTTACCAACCTTAACGCCCGTATACTAAAAGCAGTTCTAAGGAGTTTTGTGGGCGAAGCGGGCATATTCCTGCAGAACTTATCTATGGCATGGTCAACTCCGTTCTTGGTCGCTTCGGCGTACCATTCGGAGTTTTGATTGGTCGAGTGCTTGTGGAATAGAATGAGTATAGCGAGCGCTACTCTGTAGAATACCTGTGGGTTGATAGATAAGAAATATGAAAACTGTAATTTTTTGTACAATTTGTTTTATGATTATAATTGCTTAATCAATATCGGCTCTTTTAATATCTATAAATCTTTTGGGATTTTTACGATACCGATTTCAATTGACATATCTTAATAATGAAGAAAATATTAAAATGAAATAAAAATATCACTATATCTAGAAAAAACTAAGTAAAGATGAGATGTTACACAATATACATACTTTGATCCCCTCGTGGAAGAAGCAATCTAGCACCCTGACCAAGTGTGGGAAGGGCAAGGCGGCTAGTATCCACCACTGCCAGTCCGCGTATATGCGCTCAGGACCAATCGCGCCCGACAGTCGCGACAGGTGCTGGGCGGCCGACTTCTGCAACAAGATGCGATGTTGTACGGAAGCTTGCCATCTCTAATGAAAAGCAATGAAATGATGGCGATAAGTAAATTTGAATTACACTATTATTATAAATGCGAAAGTTCGTATACATATGTATATGTGTTACTCCTTCCTCAAAACGGCTGGACGTTTTTAGATTAAATTTAGTACACATATAGACTATAATCTGGAGTAATATATAATAATGTCCTGTCGATTTCAGCCACACCGGCCAATGTCAGTGAGACTAGCCAGACGCGCAGGAGATATCATAGTGCACAAGTGTACGCGCAAACACAAGTATACTCTCTATTTCATACAAGATATTTCGACATGACCGGTGAGAATTAAGGCAAAGGACCGACTCTTATTGCTCTCCGAGGCACGGGGGTGAAGCACCGTCAACTTCCTAACTCATGGCTTAGACTGAGAATATCTTAACAGAAAAACTCAGTAGTTAAACTTGGCTCGACTCGGAACTCGAACCCAGGACGTCCGGATCTGCAGCCGTATACATGCTAGCCACTACCACGAGACAGTTACAGATAGTATATAGGCTCTGTTAGCAATAAAATGTACAATCTAGGGACACGTTTTCCAGCGCAGCAAAGGTAAAAATTTTCACTTTCAATTTCCGTTGAACAACTTTGACATATTCTGACTTACAAAAATCCATTTAAATAAAATATGAGAATTCAAATGTCCATTAAATCTAGACTTATTGTGAGTACAATATAAACAACCTAGAAAGCAGAAACCTAATATATTTTACGAGTTGAAAATATAATAAAAACATATACGATACAAAACTTAAGATGAATAAACATTCTCAATGTCAAGACAGTAATAATAAGGCATTTAGTGTTTATCTATGTTCATTTAATTAGTTTCTAGTACTGACAGTTTGTATGTAAAAAAAAACAATGTTGTTCTAATTATGGAAACTGAACGATCAATAGAAAGTTAATTTATTACCATTACAAATACATAAAATTATACATACAATAGAATAAAACAAAGCGTGACCCAGGTAAAAATAAATAATATATATATGAAGTAGGTATAATGGGTTGTTTCGATCGATCGATGTGCGATGGTCAATAACCTCCATTTATTAAAAAAATCAACTTGTTAACAACCTTTCCGTTTCTAACGGGTAGTCAAATTTTAGGAATTATACTATACTAGCGGACCCGACAGACGTTGTCCTGTCTACACGTCTTTAATTTGAAAATTTCAAACTTTTTTTAATAATTTTTTTTATGAAAATTATTATTCAAATTGTGAATCTAAACCATTCCCAGATCCCCTTGAACACACACAAAAAATTTCATCAAAATCGGTCCAGTCGTTTGAGAGAAGTTCAGTGACATACACACTCACAGAAGAATTATATATATAAAGAAGAAGATAATCAAATGACAACTAGTTTATCTAAAAATCTTTCATGAAATTTAGTCTCAAGTGGACTGATCTGAGCATAGTAAGGTATAAGTAGATTTTTTAATGTATAATTTTTTATCTTGTTACTAGCGACTCACCCTCGCTTCGCTCCCTTGGGTAGTAGCATGATATATAGCCTTCCTGAATAAACGGGCTATCTAATGAAAAAAGAATTTTTCAAATCGGATTTGTAGTTTACTGAGATTAGCGCTTTCAAACAAACAAAGTTTGCCTCTTTTATAAGTTTAGTATAGATAATGGAAATACCAACATTTTTTGGATTTTTCATATATTTCAGTGCGATTGATTACAGTTCGCGCCAGCGAACTAATTTAATTTGGTTAGAATGATCAGGCATGAAAGATGTTTTATGGGCACATTTTGCACCAGGACTCTACTATAAACATCCATGACTTGGATACAAATATTTGTGCTCATCACAAATCAATGCCCCCAGCGGGACCCGATCCCGCGACCGCTAGCACAACAAGTAGAGACACTACAAATTAAGCCAAACACGTATGGGCACATTTTGCACCAGGTTGAATCCTAGTTTGTGGAATAACCTAACCTACAATTTTTTTGTATAATCAGTAAAACTATAATTATTATTAGATACATTTATAATTGTTTATTCCATTCCCAAATGTTTCAAAGGCATTTAACTAAAATTGTAATGAGTTGAGATAAGGCGACACAGATAACGCATCTTCATAATAATATTTACATGCAATGTAACATATATTGTAGTATAAATAAAGCACCTGTATTGAATACATATAATTAGTCGATAAAAAATAGCATATGTCACTCAGGCTAACTAAAGAAAGGGGTCAGAGATAACGCCCACGAGATAATTATAGTGTAAAAAATAGACCATATCTTTACATATAATAAAATTGTAACAAAGCCGAATCTGTACATTAAATATTTTTTGGGAAATCTTATTGAAATAGACATTATTATTGATACACAGGCCGAATCTATATTTTTAGAATTTTTATCTATCTGTTTGTTACCGCATAACTGAAAAACCAATGGAGGGATTTTGATGAAATTTGGCATGATGATAGCTGGTTATCCGGGTCAACATATAAGATACTTTTTACTGCGGGAAAATATCTAATTTCTGAGAAATCTATACTAAACCTTAAAATGTAAGTAGGGACGAACCTGAGCGGAGCGAGGGTGAATCGTTAATCTATACATATGATATGATAAATATGTTCTCCTGACCGATTCCGGCCACGGCGGCCAATCTCATTGAGACTAGCCAACTGCGCAGGAGATATTATAGTGCACAAGTGTACGCGCAGACACAAGACACAAGACACAAGTGGCTAGTCTCAATGAGATTGGCCGCCGTGGCCGGAATCGGTCAGGAGAACATCATCATAATATGATAGTAACTTAGCGAAATCTGTACATGAAATATTTTAAAAAACATAAATGATTGTAACGTATTGTGTACAGAAATATAGACCCCAAAACAATAGTAACTAAATGTTTTATACAAAAATTAGTTCACAATATAACATAACAAAAGCGTCGCGTGTACACAGTAATGTTTAAATGTTTCTGATAACGTTGTTTTACTTTACTGTGAGGGAGTCACGCGATTCCCAATGTAAGGGTTCCGATATACTAGGATTTTCCACAAATTAACTCGCATTAAGTTTTAACCACTGAACAAGGTGAAAAATAACTTTCTTTACATTAAATCATAAGTAAAAGGACTGATGTATGAAGAAATTCATAAAGTTTGTGAAATAATGTGCATATATTATGATACCGATAAGAGAACCAGGTGTGGTGTTTTATAGCCCCGATTTACTTAAATACCTCCAGTTTATAAATAGATACGTGTGATAAGCGTCAGCATTACGTGACGTAGACGTTATTTAATTCAAGGGAAAATTTACGTTGACGTATACAGTATACACCGTAGACGTAGGGGAGCCCTAAAATTATTGATAAATTTTGTTATGACTCAATGGTATCATTTATATTTATATTACAGAAGCATAAAACAAAGTATGTAAACAGTTTGTAATAAAAAATAGAACAAAATATATTCTGAAATTAAAATATAACGCTCTTAATAGTATGTATCTTATGAATAATGAATAAGATATCAACAATATTACAATGTAATATGTATGTGTGTCCGTCATAACACTACACTAAATACGAAAGTCAAACTTACGGCATGTTTTTTAGCGATCTGCATGACTGTTTTCCATGTGACCTCGTTAAGGAGCTTGGTCTGAGTGATGAACATCTTCTCCTTCGACGCGACCAAGCTTGCCATGCAGTGGTAACATTCTTCCTCTGAAAAGAACAAATTATTGCACATTATTATATGATAAAAAATACAATGAAATCAATACAAACCTATATTTCTATAGTAACATAAAGATATTAATATAATAAGTTAGTATGTATGTATTGTACATACGTATATCATTATGTACTACATAGGTAATACTTAGTAACCCACACTTTTGAAAAGACAAAAGAAGCTTTCGGGACAAACTGATATAAATTATCATCTCTACTTGATGTAAAAATAACGTTCATCCATTGTCCCGTTCTCTTGTAAAAGAAAAAAAAAATCGCACTATCATCTCCCTGTCCATTTCCCAGATTACTTGGGGTCGGCGCAGTACGTACGAACTGCCTATTGGTTACGGCAAAAATTTTCCGACCGGCCGCCTGCCTGACGTCAACCCTCTTTGGAAATGCTGTCGTTTGCTCGCCATCGAGCAAGGGACTCAAGGTGCGATGTCCCTAGTATCCTTTAGTCGTCTTCTACGACACCTACAGCAGGAGATGGCGTAGCCCTATTCTAAGCCGAGCGGTACACGGCAAAAAAAATCTATACATATAATAACATTGTAACTAAGCCGAATCTGTACATTAGCTATTTTTTGAAAAATGTTATTGAAATAAACGTTATTATTGATACAGACGCCGAATCTATAGTTTTTAGAATTTTTGCCTGTCTGTCTGTTACCGCATCACAGAAAAACCACTAGAGGGATTTTAATGAAATTTGCTATGGTGATAGCTGGTTATCCCGGTCAACATATAAAATACTTTTTAGTGCGGGAAAATATCTCATTTTTGAGAAAAAATACAAAAGCTGCAATGTAAGAGTATACTAATATGTAAAACCTAAGAATTTGGTTTTTGGTCATCCGAACGCCGGCGGAGCCGCGGGCAATGGTAGTCGCATATAAGTAAGGACTGCGATACGTATGAAGTATATCTGACCGCAGTTAATCATTAAAGAATCATAATTCATCCGACCATCATATCCGTTTTCATTGACGGCGCCTGTTCTTTTTCCAAACAAAATTCTAGAAAATTTATGATTATTTACATTAAAAATATTTTGAGACGAAATTTGTATGCAATAAAATAAATATTATTAATATACACTACACAGTGTCTATATTTATATTTTTGAAGTGTAAAAGTTACAACTGAATAATTTTATAAAGATTAAAAAAAAGTAATATGAAAAAAAAAATTAAAAACCGCTTGTGTCAAAATGTTATTTATTTTTGAAATATTATGTCATATCTATAACATTGTTTAAATCCTAAAACACACGTTATTTATATCAATTATACATATCCTATATTAGTTTCTCAATTAAGACGAATCTATCGTCATTTCATATAATAAAATTCATCAACCTATTTAGATAGTAAATTATAGGCTAGACTGTGCGAAAGGAATACTAAATACACCTATATAATATGGTAATAAAATATTAACTTGAAACTCGAAATTAAGACAAATCTATTATCCATCTGTGGGAGTCGACTAAATACTACACACTTTCCTTCTACGAATTCAAATTGACGAACGAAACGATCGAACTTTTCATATAGAAAAAACATACAGTCGAATTGAGAACCTCCTCCTTTTTGAAGTCGGTTGAAAATTAGATTTCAGTACAGTAATCCCGCGAGAATGGAAGCAATTATCGAGTTGTTCGAGGACGCTTCGATAACAGGTTTTACTCAATCAATGAAGAGCTGACAAAGACACTCATTGCACTAATTCAATCCAGCATCCAGGCGAGCGTGTTACGTAGTATGGCCCTAAATGATTTACGATACTTGGGTGAGATTAAACACATGGTTGTTATATACATAAGTCTTCTATAAATATAATAATGTATATCTGTGACCTATACGTAATACGTTCGTAAAGCAACCCTTAACCTATTATGATGAAACTTTAGCAAGTAATTGTGCGTCCGTAAAGGTTTCCAAGTACAATCAACCTAAAAAAACACTGTTTACTTCTATAATATATGTATTTTGTATAATATTTTAAGAAACTTTATTTCTGTACATGCTGTGTTTATTTGTAAGTAATCACTACATTTAGTTCCCAGTTTTTAGTTTTATTTTTTATATTTGTGTGTATTATTGTAAGTGATTGTAAATAAATAAATAAATAAATAAATGAATGAATAAATGAATAAATAAATAAATAAATGAATGAATAAATGAATAAATGAATAAATGAATAAATGAATAAATGAATAAATGAATAAATGAATAAATGAATAAATGAATAAATGAATAAATAAATAAATAAATAAATAAATAAATAAATAAATAAATAAATAAAAAGTGAATTTGGAAGGGTGCTTATTTATGGCTTATTAAGTATTCTAAAAAAATACATAATATACAAGTAAACACATACATAATTCTATACTTTTATAGCAAGTATTACGTATATGAGGTGAAAATATCATATATAAATCGTAGGTCAGAGTTGTAACTATACACCTATTCGATCGAATTGATATTATAATGACTCTTTGACGGCTGACTAATAGCTATTCGTATAAAAATTGAAACCGTCCTTAAAAATGAACATCACATAATATATACGCGATATCTTCACTAACTGTAAATCAATTTTATAATAAATAGATTTTACCTTAAAAGAATGATATTTTCAACTAAAAATTCCACACCGAACCTACATGTGAAATATCAAATAATTGAATTTGACACTATAGTAGGGGAGCCCAAGAGTTATAGTTATAAAAGTTTATGATGATTTTTGCCTCTTAGGCTTGTGCAAATCGGCAGATTATTAAATTGGACACTTTTCAGGATGTGACTAGCCTACCACACCTTAATCTGACGGTTTCAAGTATTTCTACCTTATCAAAACATTTTTTAAATATTTTAATCGGCTTCCCTAGACGCGCCCCTTTATATAGAAGACTTATATTGTGGTGAAAGTACTCAATAGAGTGCAAGGTAACCTCTTTTATGTTAATCTGCCGCGCTCGAGTAACTACAGAAAATCCCCTCTTGGGCTCCCCTACTACTAGAAATAGAAATACGAGTAAACTTGTAACGCCCAAATTTCATTTCCAAAGTCAGTAAATTCTTAATGGACCTAAGTATAAGCAATATGCGTATATAATAAATTTCCACAGTTATCTATTTTCTCCACAATTTTGGGATAAAATTAAACATATTATGTATAGCGAGTAAAGCATAATACTCTGTACAAGAGTTTCTTGTTAATGGAAATGTGTGGAATTAAGATAAATCGATGAAGGAATCGATTGAATGTGGGATAGCTACATAAAATGTTGTATTAAAATTATTACTAGGTTTAGAGAGAGCAACTGTTGAGTCTCTCGCCAGCTATTTTCAGTAGAACTGCCCTCCGTGGCGATAGTATCGTCAAGGACTACCGACTACACTGACTTATCGTTGAATTAAATTGACGATTCAAAAGTGCAACACAATAGAGTTAATTTTCATTTATTTTCATTAGCCTGACATACTCGTATAAGCCGCTTTACCTTTTTAGTAATAAAAAATATATCTGAAAACGCATATTTAGATAAGAATTTAAACAAATACAATGTTACGTTACCACTTTGTTACAAGTATAAATAAACTTGGAATATGTATACTTATATGGATAAATTATATTATTATTCATATTCTAAAAACTTATATTCATACTATATAAACAATAAACATTTTCTATCTAATACAATAATAAAGCAGATTTTATTTTTTTGATTCAATACATTTGTGTATCATAGCACTCACTGCGACGAAGTGAAAGCTCTTTCTAAATTCTCAGAGGGTGGCGCAAAAAGGAAAATCTTGTTAGAGAAAGAATTGCTAATGGTACACTATGTAGGTACCATTAGCAATTCTGACAGCAAGTACTAAGTTGCTGTAATTGGAAAATCGAGTAATTCTATTGGCAGAAAAGAAATTTTATTATACTTTACTATTGACGTACCTACCCTGGTTCGGGTTTAGGACATACCTATCTACATACATGTAAGTATGTATGTATGTCATATATGGGGACCTCCAACTATACCATAACATTAAGGATTCCAAACGTATAAGTTTACTTTATTTAACGTGTTTTTTCAACCGACTTCAAAAAGGAGGAGGTTCTCAATTCGACTGTATTTTTTTTTATGTTTGTTACCTCAGAACTCCGTCATTTATTAAACGATTTGGACAATTTTTGTGTTGTTTGAAAGTGTTAACTTCCAGATTGGTCCCATTTAAATTAAAAAAAAAAATACCACCCCTAAGGGTGGAAAAATAGCTAATGATGAATTTAACCTACTTCTAATTGTCATATTGACTTGAAACGTTGCAAGTGTTTCTATTTCCGTTGATAGTACAGTGGTTCGGTATTGTTGACCTGATCTGATGGTAAGGCCAGAAGGTGGATAGGTGGAACTCTTCAACGGCTAATAGTAGATACTTTGAGTTTGGGCTTGTTTTGTTTGATTTGACAAGCCTAATACGTTATCGGTAGGAATGAGATATTTTCACGTTATAACAAAATTTATTATATCACTCTTCCGTTCTCAGACTATCTCCATATAAAAAAATTACACATCAATGCATCGCTCCGTTTCAAAGTATACAAGAACAAAAAAACAAATCTATACTAATATTATAAATGTGAAAGATCGTGAGTATAGATCTTTGTTACTCTTTTACGCCAGAACGGCTAAATAGGTACGAATGAAATTTGGCACAGAGATTGATATATAGTCTGGAATAACGCATAGGCTTTTTATCCCGAAAAAACGTACGGTTCCCGTGGGATAGATCTGTTTTTGTTTTTCTCTCGCTAGTGTATTATATTTTATGAACTTAACATTAACTACTCATATATAACTTTAGTAAAGAAGTTGTAACTAAGACAAATGAATATTTTGAAGTATATACCTACTTAAGCTCTCATCATAAAACTTATCTAAATTTTGGAATGACAATTTCCAATAGTGATGG